TCGAGAATTCTTTGATTATGAACTTGTAGAATATGAAATATGTTCAAAATGGCGTATGCATAATGGGCATTGCGATATACTTTATTTTATTCGGCTCTCAATATCGATAAAACATTCTCTTTATATTCAAATTTTCGATAATCGTCAAAATTTCAATTCTTCGTTTTAACAAAATTAATAATACTATCGATTAAATATTCAAACTTTTTTATTACTAATTCTTCAATAGGTTAACGTGTCATTTCTATTATGCACGTGTTCGTGTGTGTTGTAGAAGCATCCGTTTATATTTTCGCAAAAAAAGAAAATTTGAAATTACATTGATAGCATTTGAGTATTTAAAATTGTGATTTAATACACCTACATAAGTGAAGAAGTAAAATTTGAAAAATATTCAAGTTTTTTATTTGACATAATATACGATTACTTTTTTAAAAGTATATGTCAAAAAACAATTTTATTTATCCAACCATTTAATATTATCATAAAGTATTTTTTCTCTGAAATCATTAAACTTTATATATGTATATATATATATATATATATATATATTTTTTTTTTTATTCTATAACATGTCATAACTTTTTTGATTTTTCACATACGCATGTGTCATTACATTTATATTTTTACATTTATATTACATTACATTTATACATGTTCAAAAAAACAATATGATAGTGTCCTATGCATTGAATGTAACGATATAATTATCATACATATTGATCAATTTATATTTCGTATGCACTTGTATGTAAAATAGCAATATAATTTTTTTTCATTTATTCTCCTTGACAGCAATTATAATTAAAAACAAAAACTATTACAATTATAAAAACTATGGAGGATAAGATTTGTGAGGTTGTGAATAGAAGCTCACTTGAATCTGTCGAATCGTTAGAGATCGTGATTTTATGTTTTTATTTGAGCACTTGCTATTTCTTTGGTAAAAAAAACTCTACGAGGCATTTGAATATATTCTACGGCATGAAAAAATCCCCGAAAAAGAATTCATTCTAATAATGCAAGAGAATGAGAGTTGTGTAACTTTATTATTACAAGTATATTCCGAAATTGCTTCAAATATCTAGAATTTTTGTTCTTACAACTATTTAAAAATGGAAATGACATATTTGTCATTATTGGAATAATAAGTATGCAATTATGTATATGGTACGTATATGTATATAAATAATAAGTATGCAATATAATATAAATTATTATCGATATTCGAAATATTATAATAATATTACTTTAATAATAGATAATTGATAATAATAATTTTTACAATAATAAGTAACTCGATAAATCAGTAGTAAATATTAAATAAGAAATGTAACGAGTAAAATATACGATCGGACTATTTCGTTCGAACTCATGATTATGCCGACTGATAGCAGTCGGCTAACAGCAATATTGTCATAATCACAAGATTAGACGGAATTAATTTGCGAAAGTGAGATAAAATAAGAGGAACCGAGAGTAGCCATTGGAAATTGGAAGCATGGAGCTCAATCGATCGATCGCCGATTGTTACAATCGACCTCGTCGACATCGCCACCAAGGAAAGATTCTCAGCAGCAGGGGTGAAGGGTGCGTGCGCGGGGCTAAAAGTTTGAAGCTGTCGACAAGGCTTGAGTGGCCTCCGACGCCTCGAAGCGCCGATTAACGATCTCAACAGCCAGCAGTTGTAGCCCCCCCCCCTCTCACCACCCCGGCATCACGTCATCGCATCTCGACCCCGCCAATTCCAGTGGTGTCGGCGATCGTAATTGCGCAGCGAGAAATCCGGGGCGAAGTGCTCGAGCTCCGGTGGCCCATGATAAGCGGATCTCGTAATTGCCGACGAGTCTTTTGTCCGACCATCTGTGAGGGTAACGAGACGCAAGCGCGAGATCGTCGCGATTGTAGATTCGTCGTTGTTACATACTCAGGAGACCTGCTTTTTCTTTCCTAGTAAGGGTGAATCTTGTTTCTCTATTATCGACAATCTATTGGGACCGCTTTGTTTGCATACGCGAGCCGAGCTTTGGCAATATTCTTTCGCGCAAACTCTAGATAAATCTAGTTGTATTTACAGATCCCAAAACTTAATATCTTGCAGCTTACTATAAGCATTACGTAAGATTTATGAGATGTAATTAATTATATAGGCGTATCGTGTGCGTTACATTAAGTTGAGATTTAATTTTTTTTTCTATTTAAAAAGCAAAACAAAACAAAAACAAAAAAAGAACTCGCACATCGTATAACGAAAAATACAATGTGCGACGAAGCGTACATTCGTTTAGTTACGATTTTCATATTGGCCGTTATAAGAAAAAATGAAATTCTCACCCAACGATGACATAAGTGTATCTGGAAGAAAGAAATTTTTATAAATGCCATTGGCAGGCAATGAAATATAACGTATAATTTTCTAAGTTTGGCATAGGACAAATGAATTTGTGAACCGAATGGCGACGAAAGTGGCGTCGATTATTCAAAGCCGCTTCGAGATGCGAATAACAATAGATAAAGAATTTTCACGACACAATCTATATACGAAAGAAAAACTTAACTTCTAATCGCCAAGCCAATAATATTTGACATTTCATCAAACTCGTTTCAATCAAAGAGCCTTTCGCTATCGTGACAGGTGCCGCTCATCATCTACTCCATCATATATGAAATAAAGATGATAATACGAGCGAAGGGCGCAAGAGTCGATGATAAAAAGCGCTGGAAACGGAAATAACTTTTATTTAATTGAATTCCGCCGAGCTTGCTGACAGTCGAAAATTTCAATCCTATTCTTACAAAAGCAAAGTTTAACAGACAGTTGAGAACACCGGCCAATCGTCATAATGCGCGATCGAGATTAAACCATATTATTAAAAGATATTATTACGAGGCAATTATCATGGTGCATCCGTGTAACACAGGTAGCAGCCCCGTTAGTAGCCGTCGCGCATTTCCTAAAGTGCCACCCCCAGCCCAGAAAACTTGAGAGTGGCCACTCGAGGGCGCGAGCGCGGGGCGCGAATTTCTATTCGCGGCATAGTTCCCACCCCCGCGCTGCTCCACCTCCCATCGACCGGAGCGAGCCGAGGTGGGATGGGAGGTGGAAGCGGGGAGGACCCGATGATCGATACGTCGTGTTTCAACCTTAGGATTGCATGAATTGCGCGGCAAGTCAAAGCGTTTCAAATTCGTGCATAATCGCGGAAGTCGACCATGTCAATTGACTAGATCGTTAAAGGATTTGTCGCGATCGAGGGACAGTGGTCAGGTGGCTAAAGTCTTTAAAGGCCTTGTCGCATTACGTGGAAGAGGCTAAATCTTAAGGGAAATACTGTGAAATGCAATGCATTAATGCAAGTTGAGAAGAAACTGCTCTAATAATTGGGATAACCATAAAGTGCTTTATCGTTATTATTATGCTTAAGCAGAGTAGCCTTAAGGTAACATGTAAATAAAAATTCGATAATCAACGTATGGAGATCTACGATTATTAATTAATCTATAAGCAAGATGTATATAAGTAATTTGAATTTTAAAAATAATTCTAAAACTAGCTTTGGCCGATTAAAAGAACTAAATGGATTATTTGAATATTGCCTAAAATATTACTTTGAACTTTTGATAAATTATAAGATTTTATTCATTCTAAGATTAGAAAGGAGCTATCATATAAATAATACAAAAGAAAGAATCGAAAAGAAAAGAAGATAGATTTTTAAGTGGCTATTTAACTTAAACTTGCGCGCTAATCGAGGCGACGCGCTTATCCGATAGTCTGAATAAATAAAGATGAAATTCGACATTCCTCAGCTCGTAAATGGATTATCATTGCTCGTAACGCGCACTCCGATATAAAAGCGATCGACGATTACTCAAACTCCACTTACACCGCATGGTTGAAAAGTGTTACGGTTCTTGTTATTGAAAGTGGCGCAACGGCCAATCGTCCCTTCGACAAAATATTCGCACGAATGTGGTCGGTTCGTCGATGAGATAAACTCGCGAAACCGCGACGCTGGATGTTGGTAATTAGTCGATCTCGAACATCCGTATCTTCGCGAAACTGGCTGACAGAACTTGGCTAACATGAACTAAAGATACTAAAGAAGAGAACTATTGGCTGGCGTGGCAGTACTTGGTCGTGTAAAGCCTGCGTTAAGAAAAGAGAAAAGTGAGTTAATGCCGGAAGGAGAAAACGGGAGTTGAGGCAAGTCGAGGCGAGACAAAGAGCGCTCGAGCGTCCTTGCAGGGGTAGGAAGAGTTTGCCGCATTCGAGTAAAGAAAGTCGAGGGTCGAGAGTCGCGAGGGATTTATCGCTGCCAATGTTGTTTGCACATTTTCGAGGGGCCAAGCTCACACCAGGGAGGGGAAATTCGCGTGGATCGTCTCGATCGAGCACTGGCGGATACGAGACCCTGATGCTCGCGATGCATCATAATGTGGGACGCGGGTGCTTTCCCAATTGCTCCAATTGACTGGCCGTAATTATCGATATGGGAGAGAGGGAGGCGAGGAGAGGATAATGCTCGAGATTCTCATTTACCTTATCTATTAAAATTCATCCGCAAGCTACATGATAAAAGCGTACGTATAACGCTAGATTCAACCTCGAAGTCGTCCACTCCGCGCAATCACATCCCACGATTATTCAGCAATAGCGAGCAAGCCAATAGCAATAATTATGTCGATACTTGAGCGCTACCGCACCAATGATCACGTGGCTCAAATCCTAATAGGCATAATAATCCCTAGCGGTCCGTCCGATCGAATCCGAGCTCGGATCCGTTCAAGGGCGTTCTCCACTCGCTTCTCCTCCGCGCACTCGCGACAATGCGGCGAGCGATCCCTTGTCCCCCACCCTCCGGCCAGTTTGATCGCCAGCCGGGGGCCCCCGCCCTCGCCGCCCCCAACACAGTACTTGGCAACTCAGAGGGGATGGATGCCTGCGATCCGCCCTCCGCGGGATCCGTGCGATACGCGACAGCAGTTGTCGTCTTTACTCGGATCTCGCGCACCTCCGTCCTCTACTAAGTTCCGAAGAGCTCGACGTAAGATGCGCTGAGAGGACGCCCAAGATGGTGGAGACTAGGCAACCTGGACCGAGGCCGCTCCTGGTGATGCTCGTGCTGCTCGCCGTTGGGATCGCCGACGCCCAGTAAGCAAAAACTGCTTGGGGATCGATGGGGATTTGACGAGAGGGCTGCCGATTTTTCGCCACCCTTGAACGATATGGTGAGCGATGGCGGCGGCGACGGCGACGGCGATGGCGACGGTTGTAGGAAGGCCGGGAGACGGATGATTCTTCAAGATCGCACGAGATTTTCAGCTGTGAATTGAAATACCCTCGAGCTCGGTAGACTTGTCGGCTTAAGTGCTTCAGATTCCTAAGACTTTTCAAACTTTCTCGTCCCCCGCACGAGCGATTATGTCGCCATTCACGGGATATCGTTATGTTACAAGAGCTTATTACACAAGCGGCAAAGCTAAGAAATTGTGAACAATAGTTAATTCAAAAATTTTCTTCCTTTTCGTTAATTAGTCGTAAACAAAGAGATTTTCTAATGCGATAGTTGTTATCAATGCCGTACCTGCTTTGAAAACAAAAGAATTGTCGTGTAAATACCACTATTATGATTTTCTAATTTAACGAAAATTCAATAATTAATACTAATTTTTTACGAAACTTACAGTACCTAACATTTTCCTGCATATCGCACTATCGGAGCAACTAACTTATTGTTCATTCGATTATTAAAATGTTTCAATCGTATGCTTTATCGGATATTAATAGAAGTAAAGAAGTGATTAATGTTATTTTTATACAATCTAATGCAAGCTAATTCACCTATTTGAAAATCAATATACATTTCTTTTTAGTAACAATTTTATTGTAAAATTTCGAGTACAATATTATTAAAATGTTATTTCTCTTGATTCAGTGGTGTCACATTAAATGTCATATCGATAAGATAAAGTATTTTATACTTCTATTAAAAATTTGTCATAAATTTCTAATTGGAATTTTTATAAAATTAAAAGTTTATAGAATCATTTCGATTAAGAATTTTGTTAATCTTTTGCTAAAACAATATTATTCCTCACAAATAATATACCTTTTAATTATCAGAAAATTGTGAATATTATTATTCTATAAACTACTAGAATATTGTATTAACGACTCCCCTCCCCCAAAATCTGAAAATCTAAAATTAATGTAATATAAATAATATAATTAATCATTACATTATATTAATATTAAATATTCAAGGGGAAATTTTTACGATTTCGCATTAATTTAAAATCGTTGATATTAAAATTTTAAATAAAATTTTTTCAACTAAATGAATGTTCATATATCAAATGTTTATCACTTAAAAATTTAACGTGAAACCAAAATTAAAAATAACTATAATATATCATCAATTTTCAAACATTGATTATCAACAAAAATATTGAAAATATTATCGGCTGTATCATGGCTGTATAGTGTATATCAAAATTAAAAACGTTATTCATAAGCAATTGAAATAAGTACAAGAAAATAGTTGAACCTCAATGCGAATAATGTTCATAATAAAGATTTTTACAAAGTTACAATCTTAAAGACTAACGATGCATAAATTGCGAGAACAATTATTTGTTCATATCGATAAACACTTTTTATGCAATTATATAAGTATTTCATTGGCCACGCCTAATGTATGAGTATAATCGAATAAGTTTTGTGAGCACATTCCGAATAATTGATACGAGGCTGTGCAAGAAACATAAACAATTTAACATTTTATATCTAATTTTCTTTCATTTTTTCTTTAATTTAAAATCGTAGTGAAATAAATAAGCATTAAATTCGTACGAAAAACATAACATTATTTTAACTCGGTTCACTTTTAAATAAATTCGAGAATATGTAATTATTTTTAATATCTTTTGTTAAATTCATCCAAATATTCCCCGTTCTTTAATTGAAAATAAACTTCATAAATTTTATTTTCAACGAGTTTCATAAATTGTAATAAAGGCGTATTTTACAATAATGTTATTGTTCAAGCAGTACATTTATAAAATAACATCTGTGCAAATAGCACGTGTGATTTTTACTGAGACAAGGAAAAATAGGTCAAGATTAATTTTTATCCCCTCGCAAATACGATCACCTTGCAAATTTTCAACCTTGCACTAAACGAACTTGAAAGAATATTTGAATGCGTTAATAGCTTCGATAAAGTCGAGTATCTCGGTCTAATTCTCCGATATAACATTAATTTTAAATAGAATTTTTTCCTAAATATTCTATTTAAGCGCAACTTTCCCTATTGTTAATTATCAAAACAATAACCCAATATTCCTATCATCTATTAAATAATTAATCAACCTTCAACTTTATACATAAATTCAAGATGTAACAGCATTGATATGATCATTTATTTTAAACAACCACTCTCTCTCCTCTGTCTCTTTCTCTCTCTCTCTCTCTCTCTCTCTCTCCTCTCTCCTCTCTCTCTCTCTATAAAAATAGTATAAACGAAATATTTGCATGGATATTATAATTAAAAATATAAATTTATTCGAAATGAAAAACTATTCCTATAACATCTGACTGCGTGTGTATTATTTAATTTGTAATATTTTTCAGTAAATATTACTTTAATAAGATTGTAAAATAGATCATGATTCATTATGTTTATAATTTAAAAAAAAAACTATTTTAGTTTTAACGAAAAAAATTTATTAATCAATCAAAGGTATTATGAAAGAATATTAAATATTAATAATTTTATCAAACTGCAATTACATATTAATATTTTGCAACACAGTAATAATTCTGTTGTTGTTTCAAGAAAAAAACATCTATTTAAACAATTAATTTATGAAATTGATCTACGATAAATAATAATATAATGTTTGATTAAAACAAATAGTACTTTTAATATTGTTTTTTTTCAGCATCTAAATCTAACATTGATTACGGTACGAGAAGTTGTTATACAATGTGATTTTTCAGTATTTTCATTTTTTTTTTTTTTTTTTTTTTTTCATAATACGATGGAGAGTCATTCATTATTTGGTGTTCTAAACTCAATAAATCGTTTCAGCCAAATCCCCGTATAATGTAAACAGCAACAAACAGTAGAATAGAATTACAAAATTTAAATTAATATAAACAGGTACGGTATAAACATATTTTATTGTTTGTAGAAAGAGTTTGGAATTTTATGACTTGCTACCCGAAGATCCGAAGCTGTACGATAAAATGAGGCCCCCGAAAAAAGACGGACAAGCGACTGTTGTTTACTTTCACGTAACAGTCATGGGTCTCGATTCTATTGATGAAAACTCAATGGTTGGTTTATGAACATTATATTTGCTAGTCTAACACATTGTACTTAATATATATATTATATTATATAATAATAAAAAAAAATAAATAAGACGCTGTATTATTAACAATGAAATATATGATTTAATTATTTTAACGTACAATAACGATCGCTCGATATTTGTTAAATATAAAACTTCGCACATGGATACAATAGAATTAAAGCCTTTTATTTTTTACATTTAATCTGTATTCAATTGTAACGTAACCTCAATTTTTTAATTCAATTACGGCTCTAAAATTGTACCCCCTAAAACATTAAAGTCCTAAGAAATCTCTAAAACATATACTCCTCGTTTTTATCCTTAAAACATTGAAAATTATTGTTCTAAAAATTATCCAAGCATACTCGGTAGTCGTAAAATTAGTTATTTTATTACGTTAAAAAAAAACTTTTGTTTTTGTTAGTAAATCACTGATATACGTCTATGATATTAGCGTTTTTATTTAAACGACATAAGAAATACATTGTAAAAATAGATGAAATATATATATATATATATGTATATACGTAAAATAAAAAAAACATTAGTTTAATTTATAATGCAAAATTAACGTAAAAAGTACGTTAGACGATTTATAAAATTAAACCGTAAAGCAATTCAACTCATATTATCACAGTGATTTAATAATATCAATTACATTAAATTACATATATTAGGTTTTTTTTTTAAAGCCTCAAACAGCATAAAGAAAGTAACATTCATACTAATTTTATTGCGCATTAATATATTATTATCGACGTTATTATAGACTTATGCTGCGGATATTTTCTTTGCGCAAACGTGGAAAGATAATAGGCTACGACTTCCGGAGAACATGACATCCGAATATAGGTATTATTATATAATAAAATCACATGACATTAGGATTGAAATGCTAATAAACTTTATTGTAGAAAATACCATTTAATGTATGCTTTGAAAGCTAATACTAGTAAAAAAAAAATTACATTTTTTTAACGTACTCTATAAAGTCCCTTAAAAGGGTAATGATTATCAAGCTTTTGAACTTTATCGATTTATATTACAAATTTATTATATGCACTATTCGCATGACTCACACATACTTATTATATAATAAAAATTTACTATAGCATTACATCAATTTGTAATCATCTAATCAAATATTTGTGTTATTTTGAAGATTATTAGAGGTGGACTGGCTGAAAAATATGTGGAGACCAGACTCATTTTTCAAAAATGCCAAATCTGTAACTTTTCAAACGATGACGATACCAAATCATTATTTATGGCTCTACAAGGATAAAACCATCTTATACATGGTTAAGTACGTTATTTTATTTATGATTATTAATAGTAACGTATGAATTACGATAACTAATATGTATTCTTTTAATTGAATTAGATAATTGCTAATTTTTCCACTTATGAAAGATATTAACTAAAAAAAAAAATAACAATGCCCTATAATTTCTTTCTTTTCTATTTTTTTTATTCAAAATTTAGTCATTCAGTATAATTTAATGTAAATAATTATTACTTATATAAGTTTTGTTGAATAATATTAATTTCAATTAAGACATATTATCGTCTGTTTCTTTCAATTGTATTAACTAATATGTAACGAGTGAGTAAAGTTAAAGATAAATTATTCATTTTCAGATTAACGTTAAAATTGTCATGTGCAATGAATTTTCTTATATATCCTCATGATACACAAGAATGTAAATTACAGATGGAAAGTCGTAAGTTAAATATTTATTTTAACGTATATAAGAGTCGCGTTCAATTAACCAATCGATCGATAGCAATGTAATAGTCTTATTTATATAAACATAAATATTTAGTAAATTTATAACTGAAATACCTTTCATACTTAAAATTCTTATAATTTTAATAGGTATTAAGAAGAAATATTGTTGATGGAAATTGTGAATCATGTATATTTATTAAAGATAATCAATTTAATGTACAAGATAAAATATGTGTTATTTTTAAATTTAGCGTGAAAACTTAATACTGAACGTAACAATACAAAATAGTTTGTTTGCTTCTTTTTAATTCGTGTATATTTTTACGTTCGAAGATTAGTAAAATATATTTCATTAAAATATACCAATCCAAGTAATTTATTTACTTGTTGAGATGCCTTTAGAGTAAAAGATATAATTGTCTATTAATTTTGATTTAAGAATAATAATTTTTAAATTAGCATTGCATAATTTTTTAATAATTGTAACAGATTTCTAAAGAAAATCTAATTTTTTAAGTGAATACATTTTGTAAAAATTCTAAAATGAAAGTTGTAAAATAATGTAAATTTTTTAATGTCATATTTAACTCAAAATGCTTGTAGCAAATGATTTAATTTTTTTTATTTTTCGTTAAATAAAAATTGAACGATGATATTTGATGAATTACCTTTATATAAATTAATTTGTTATTTGAAATATATAATTAGATAAGATAATAAATTTTCATTGGTAATTTAATGATTGTAGAGAAATCACATCGAGAGTATTTAATCACAACTTTTATTTTTTCTAATTCACATTTTTAAGGGTCATATTTTACAATAAAACTATTGTGACGATAATTTTTCAAGCACGATTTAAAAATAACAAATATTAAAATCATGCTCAACATGCATTATATTTCACACGTATGAGTCGTATGCATAAACAGCTTGGCCGTATAATGACTATTATCATACATATTATCATACAATTGTAATAGAAGATCGTTATTCACTAAGAGCTCCTAAAAATCATTACCATATAATATGCTCGTTACGTACATATAGCGCACAAAGCTCTTAAAACATACACACGAAGTAAGTGCCTGAGTCTCAATAGGCTAAACTGTCACTAATTAAACTGTTCCCTATTATCAAGTATCGAAGCTAATGCCCAGTTGGGGGAAAAAAAAGAACATGAAAACAATCGTAAATCCCATTTCCACTCTTTTGTCCTTTTAATCCATGTCCGTGCCTGATATAACCAGCAGTAACTCGGTCAACAGTGTCGCACACAACGGATGAAATGATCTTCCAGTGGGACCCGGACGTCCCGCTCGTCGTCGACGAGAACATCGAGCTGCCCCAGTTACAACTCGTCAAGAACTACACGGCCGACTGCACGCAGGTCTATTCCACCGGTACTCATTTATCTTCTCTGACTTCTCTTTCTAATTTTCCACCAATAACGACACCAAGTCATTAGCGCAGCACGGCTCTTCTTTTTCAAGGCGCTATCTGTGATTGCGAGAGTTATCATGCTGATATCGTCAACACTCGATTCGTATTTGTTTGTATAAAAAATGATTCGTGGCCTATTAAAGAAAATTTGTGATAATTGGCTGTTGAAAATGTAACTTTATTCATGTGATTAACGACTGGAAAATTTAATTAACCTACTAATTACTTTGCTTCTGGTAATGATTATTCAATTAGAATTTCTTTACTTGGGCATTAATAATACCAATTGCATTATTGTAATTATTATAATGTAATTACGGTTCATAATAATTATATGTCATGTTATTCATATGGTGGGGGACTGCATATATTAACAAATGTGTTATCTGATTATGTCGCAAGAAATAAAAATCGCGAAAATATGTTTTGGAATGACGATATAATTTTAGTCGTATGGTATTATATATTTATTAATTTTGAACAATGAAATTAATTTTTATAAATCACAGCGAATTATATAAACATTGAAAATTTTAGATTATCTATTCGAAAATCTGCGTACAAACAAAAATTATTAACGGAGTTTATCACGAGTTTTAAGCTATTGGAACAAATTCATTTTATCTCTAAAATTAAACAGAAATTATATTACATATACTAATGCAAATTCTTATTGATAGGTAACTTTACCTGCCTCGAAGTAATATTCGTCCTCAAACGACGCTTAGGTTACTATCTGTTTCATACATACGTACCAACTTGCCTGATCGTAATAATGTCGGTAAGATTTTTTTTCTACTTTAAATATGCGTTTTAATTAGATATATATTGTTTATATTTAGTAAAAGTCTTTTAAATTTCAAAAATACACTGGACGATTTTTATAGTCTTTCCCCGACCCGTGTGCATATAAATTCTTACGTAACTTACCCATATCAAAAGTCCTTGCTATTCAAGCTTTATTGCATCATTTAAATATAATTGAAATGGCATCAAGTTTCGCAGTGTCGTAAACGAGCTAAAAAGCCTCAATTTTACGCTTATGCGTGCGCTTCACACTGAAATAACCATTAGTATTCGTCTACAGTGGGTGTCCTTTTGGATAAAGCCGGAAGCGGCGCCGGCGCGCGTAACTCTGGGCGTGACGTCACTCCTCACACTGTCGACCCAGCATGCAAAGAGTCAAGCGTCGCTGCCGCCGGTCTCCTATCTTAAGGCCGTTGACGCCTTCATGTCCGTCTGCACGGTGTTCGTGTTCATGGCGCTAATGGAATATTGCCTGGTGAACATCGTCCTCGTGATCGGCGAGTCGCGTGAGGTAATGCCGCCGAAAAACCCGCCACCCCCGCCGCCACCGGCACCGGCGCCTTGTACTACTGGCCCGGATTCTGCCAAGCTTGACAGGATTTACGATATAGCGAATAAGGTAACTTTCGTGTACGGAGATTCGACCACGATTTACCGCGTTGTCAAGCCAGAATTATGAGCAGAACTTGGCGTGTAAGAGGTACCCGAATCGATTCGTAGGAGATTATTCTCGTATGTTACGGTGGTTTTTGCAACTAACTACTACAAACTCAATGTGAATCAGTGGAATTGAAAGGAATATTAAAATTAAAATGAATATTCGATTATTCAATGCTTAAAAATTGTGTAAACAATAATGTAATGTTTTGATTATGGTAATTGGTAAAGATATTGGTAAGAACGATTGCATTAGTGATATATTATAAAAGTATATTTGATAAAAGATTTTCTCCATCGTAAGCTTTTAAATTTTAATTATTTTTTTTTTTGGTTCTTCTTGTCTCGCATTATTATCATTGCTTATCATCATCATCATTGTCGTCATCGTCGTCGTCATTGGCATTCTGATTATTATTAGTATTATTATTATTATTGTTGTTGTTGTTTTTGCGATTATTGTCTTTGATGTTATTATTATAATCAATACAAATGTTGAACGGTCCATTTTTAGTTTAATTATTTACTTTGATTATAAATTTAAGTGAAAGACAATAAAACTGTATATAAGCATTTTTCTCTTATTTTGATATTCAATGGCATCGACAAATCTTTGTAATAATTTATTTTTTACTTTTTAATCGATCAATTTATATTTTGATTATAATTTATTTTTACGAGCTCCTATTGTGAAATCTATTATAATATAATTATGTATTAAGATATAAGTTGCGTTAAAAAAATTGTCTATCAAAATTCACATCATTATAGTTTAAATTATATTAAATTTTTATTCTGCAAATTATACTAACGATAAATGAAAACATAATGATACTATAAGAAAAAATCGATTCTAAATAATTTTTAGTTCGTTCAAATTTCTCGTGTTAGTTATTTTAATATTTTTTGTTTTTTGTTTTTTTTTTATAACAAATAATAATTATATATGTGTATACACTCGTTATAAAACGATAATATAGGTATGCTGAAAAAATGAGCGTTGTTCCATTAATATTTGTCTAATTTTACTGCATATTTAGAAAATGAGATGAAACGAAAGATGCTTAAAAAGAAAATTGAATTAAATTCTTACCGATTTATATAAAATTTGGTCCATGGAAATGAAAAAAAAGCTGTTGCTACAAAAAATAACCAAAAATAACAAATTCGTTAAAATGATTCGAACGATTCGATATATCGAGATCTAATAATATGCATTTGATCCATTCACTAATGGATTTAAGCCAAGAAGCCGTCGATTGAGCTCTTCTCGCTTGGCGACGCGGAAGACGTGTAGGTATGTGAACTCCTCGGTGAGTTAGTGATCGTTGACACACGTAGGAGAACACGATGCTGCTGTCGTGCCGCTCGCAGAAGTCGTCGAACGCGGCACCACCGCCCCCACCGCCACCACCACCACCACCACCCTCGGGCCCGAGCAAGACCCAACGCGCGAAGGTCCGCGCCCTCAACATCGACCGGGTTTCGCGCTTTCTTTTCCCGATGCTCTTTGCCTGCCTCAATGTCACCTACTGGATTCTCTTCTGGAAGTACATCTAAATCCATTCTCGAAGAATGCTGCGGTGCTTACTGATTACATCTATGTAGATTTGAACGTAACGATGCTTGTCATACGCGCGCGCTCAATTGAATTTGTTTTGAGAGGGCTTTTTTCAGAATCAATTCAAAATGGATTCAAATTTTCCTAAACTATAATAGAGATCGTAGATACTGCCCCTCCACTGCGCTCTCCACCCCTTCTCTCACTCACTTTATTAGCTTAAGACTCTTTAAATATTCATACAGAAGACCTCGAATGAACGGTACTTCAATTATTTCGAAACTACAACATAGCAATTAAAGAATTTTTATTAATCGTAATGAACGCTGGATATTTTATACGTCCCTACAGTAAAGATCTCTTACCATTCGTACTTTTGGTCAACTCACTTTTTCATATGCTCTCCGGAAAATAACGTTGCGTTTGAAAGAAATATCAACGACCGGCGGCTTTTAATTAAACTCTATGGTCTAAACACTGCTTTTAAATTATTAAATACATGATTCCTGTGCACACATATGATTACGACGTGAAACATTTTTCGCTTCGTTCTTTGTCAAAATACCGTAAAATATCCTGTAATATTGACAAAAAATAGGGCCAATGACGAATGACAGATGAATGAAGTTAGAAATATGATTGACAATGCAAATAATGTAAATTTGTAATTATGCGTCTGCGATGTTTTCGTTCTTGGCCTGATATGCGATCCAACACTTATTCATAAGATGAAATGTAAGTTGTTATTTATTTTATGTGTACTTTTAAAATATATTAGCGCTAATATTTCATATATAAAGTTTCTTCTTCTCGATTGAATTTGTTGCTTCGAATTTTCGAATATGACTGTTTTTGTAATGTCTTTGTGCATCGAATAAAAATACTTTTCTAGATCTTTTTATGATATTTATAAATGTTAATTTTAATTTAATTACAATAAATTATGGACGTTTAACATATCTTGAAGATATTTAAAAAATTCATGTCAATTTCATAATAATTAACGTATATAGCACAAAGTGTATTAATGATTATTGTAAAATTATCGATGCTGTTGATGAATATATTTTTTTATTATTTAAGTACAATAATGGAATATTCTTGATTAAAAATTCTAAAGGAAATCTAAATTCAATAATTTACTAGAAGTAAAAATTACATAATTAGATGTAAGAAATACACAAGACATCAAAAAAGAGAATAAAAATGAATAGTCTTATAATGAGTATATATATATATATATATATATATATATATGTATATATTATATATGTAAATTTACTTTAGATATTTTCGAATGAAAATAAATATTTGAAAATGTTAAAAGTGACTAATCGTAGTTATCGTCTAGGTAGACGAAATTGTATTACAAATTTATCATCATCAGATGTAAACAAAGTACGTAAAATTATACAATAATGAAAATTACATCATGGAATTATTCTAAAATAATATTTATGTTGGCTAATTACATTAAATTATATATTTCCTGTTAAATTATTTCTAAAAACTTATGAAAGTTATAAACTATTTTAATGTGATCACAAATATACGATGACAAACATATTTGTAAGCTGATATGATTTATTTAATTGTCATGATACTGTCGCGATAATGACACAAATATGACTTGCAATAATTACGTCCACTATTTGCATAATAGTGAAAATTTTTGGTATATTTGTAATTGTCAGAATACATACGTAAATGAGAAGTATTGACGAATTGATGAATATTGGGTAGTTAATAAGTTTATATTTATTTGTAAATATTAAGCTATGGTAAATAATTTTTTTATTTACATAAAAATTCTTGCATATCACACTTATAATATGCATTACATGATATTTAAAAACTTAATTAAACAAAGGGGCTTTAAAATAATCATAAATCTGATGACATTTGACGTAGAAAGAAAACGTGATTTACTAATCATAAAATTATATTGCAATTTGCTCAATTTTTTTGTTTATTTGTTTGTTTATTTTTCTTTCTTTATTTTGTTGTTTTTTTTGTTGATTTTTTTACATTATGCGCAGAATACGTTTGAAAATCAAATTGTATTCAGAAATTGAGAAATTATCATGACTTTTGAGCCAAGTAGAATATTTGTATATTAACCAGAATAATTACAACTTAACACGAATGAATCTCAAAAACGAATACGTCGATAAAATACACTTGAAACAAACATCATATCTTATCTCACGCAGAATGCGAAGTAATTTAATTTGTTGATTTATCGTAAAAAGCATGAAAAACTATGGACTTAAGTAGACGAGAGGAAATAAGTTAATATAGCTTTCTATTCTGTACGTAGAAGAAAGAGAGAAAATTAAGAAGAACAAAATTAAATAAATAAATCAATCAATGAAACATAAAAAATAATACATTTAACGAATTAAAATTTAAGTGTTTTTCGACATAAAAGTTTCCAAGTATAGCGGGATGCAGAATCGTGCGAGCAAGATAATAAGGTAATAAGATAATAAGGTAAATAACATCGTGGATTGTCATCATATGTGAATCGTCGCTCGAAGCGCTTTAACCGTATATTTCTAAGCAGCGCCACGAACACCTAATGTATTCCGTGTTGCTAAAATGTAAGATATTACGATCATTGTAATGTGCAGCACTGCTAAGAATACAAAGTAATTTGAAAGGGCGATTGGAGTTTATTAATGCATTCATCTCAATTCATCTTGTATCCCCGTAGCAATAAGCTCTTTTATCTGTAAAGTTTTAAGCGTTCGTGGAAACGCACCAAATTTACTACTAAATCGTCATATCAACAATCTGGCTTTTTGAGATAATGCAGGAGGTGACCTTCGACTTTCAACGGCAGTGACCGTCTATGCTTTGTTTTCGTCGTTAACTAGCGCCGCTTGAATCTGCCCGGCTTGAGCTTTTCTCGGGTAAAAGCTCTAGATTACCGGCCGGGTGCCATCGATAATCCTGCGGCGATGAGGGTGATGAGGAAGGAGGGACAAAGGACCTGGACGGTGGGGGGACCCTGTGAGTGCGCGCGTCGCCCGGGGCCACCATTATTATCGATCTCGCGGGTACGTCGGTCGCGTGCAGACGAGAGCCCGGGTGGATCTGTACGAGACAAGTCATCCGGGACGGTTGGAGCTACCTCCAGGTGAGTCAAGCATCGTTGACCTCCTCGCTTCCTTAACCTCGTGCGTCCCCTCTCCGTCTTCGCCCTCCCGCCCCGCCGGCCCACCGCTCCCGTACTACTCAGCCGCTGCTTTTTTATCTCGCGAAGGCTCGTCTATCACACCTGCAACAACGTGGATTCAACGTCGATTCCTCGCACGAGTTCCGACATGTGTGCTGATTTATTTACATAGTAAGTACACTACATTAATGTACATTTACTTTATTTATTCCAACTTTCTCTCTCTCTCTCTCTCTCTCTCTCTCTCTCTTAAATTCGTTTTATTGAGAGGCCGCGTTTGTTGATAGTGTGTTTGAGTGGGAGAGAAGTACGTCATGTTCTTTACTCGCTGAAATGGATGTTACGATATCGATAATTTGCTCGTTTGTCGAATGAGATTTACTTCAGGCACGATGGTCCTTGGAGACGAATATTATTGTTAATCTATCTGCAGCCTAAAAGGATTGCATAATGTCCAGTAAAGCGTATGGAGTTATAATTTATTCATAACTGAAAAGACGTTTTTAAAGACGTTTCTCGCTTTTTTCACTTTTGTATTTGTAACTTTAGATGACAATAATTCCGTTCAATAACACTGCAACAAATCTGCATAACCATTAGTTAGTTGTACGCGAGCAATCACTTCAAATTCTAGTAATATACACTTCCAAGCTTTTTAATATGCGGTACATACACACACACACACACACACGCGCGCACGCACGCACGCACGCACACACACACACACATTTATATATATAATTTTTTTAAATGTTTATTTAATGTATTATATTTTGCCAAAAACAAAAAAGTTTTGAAATTGTACGATTCTCAGTGTAACGACACTTTCACGAATATTTACGAATAGAAAACGAACCGAAAATTTTATTCAAAATGTATTCTTAAATCTATTTGAAAGCTTGAATAAATTCTGTCCCTACTATCCATCCATGATATTGCATACTTTCATAGATTTACATAATTTCATTCTAACAATTATGAACAATCATTTTTTCTTTTCGATTTTAAATTAACATAACTACTTAAAATATTACAATTTGATTGTGCCGACAATACCATCTTCCGTCCTACGAATTTTACATTAAATTATTATTTGTCATTCTAAATAAATAAATTTCTTTCCCGATCAAAAGAATGAAACATAATATAACGTTAAATAAATATGTAATAACTTTTATCTTAAGCTTTTATAAGCAAATTCAATGCAAAAAGTCAACAATAAAAATAGACCAGAAATTTAAATGCATACAGATCATGCCATCATCATTTAACCATCATTTAATGTAATCATTTAACATTTACGAGCATTTATTTATTTAATAATAAATAAATACTTTCGATTATATATATATATATATATATATATATATATATGTGTATGTATATATGGAATTAAAAGCAATTAATCGAAAAGCGGCTTTAGCTTGATTTGTAAATTCTTGCTTATAAATCGCTACCTTCTCAACGTAAAGAAATTAATTAAATAAAATTCGAATATCCTCAATTATTCGATTATCTAAGATTTATTGTTTTGAATTGCCGATGTAAAATATGATGAAGGCAACGCACGCGTTAAAAGACACAAATGATAAAGATAAATACCGTAGCCGTTCTTGGGCACACGAAACACTACGCTCATCCCCTTTCATGCTTCAAAGCAAAATAAACATTGATCTGAACCATATTATTTCCATATTCCATGTATTGTCATTTCAATTGCATGCACTTCGTATACATTACCGGCGCAGAGTTCCATCTTCTCTTATACAATACCTATTACACAAGTTATTTGAAATGCCGGCAATTAAATTTAATATATTTACTTAATCTATCGATTATGCAAGAAAATATAAATAACACTTTTTAATAGCTCGATAATAATAAGCAATAATCGTTTGATTTAAACGTTGAAAATTTAAGTTCGTTTTGCCAGTGTAAATAAGGCTTATCCAGCAATTAATGTGCGAAGCTGGCATTCTCACTTTATGGAAGTTTGAAATATTAAAACAATTAAGCGACGCGCCCATGAAGAAGCAGTGAGCCCAATAAGCAAACGAAATTCTTATCCAAACTCTTAAATTTTAATGAGTGCATTAAATTATTTATTCTGATTAGCGTGTACTTTGGAATTCCTCACAATTACACGCACTGCACAACATTACGTATCAAAAGCAATAAATATTCTAATTTACATATTAATAAAAACGCTAGATCACAACGAGACTCTTTCGAGCTGGACAATGAAAAGGTGCAAATCATCATTATCATCAATACGACGAAATCATACTAGAGAATGGATCTGCAAAAGCCATTGTGGGCGAAGAAGCTTATCATTGCAACCTGTTTTATTCTCGCTTTCTTCTTTGTCATCCTTGAAAATTCATGTATTTTCGGAGGATTGTCGCGACGCATCATCTTTCGTAAGATCAAGTTCACGCCCGAGCATCCTGAGCTATTTTATCGAGCCGCGGCCGAGATTAAAGTCAAGGAGATACCCTTGGACGAGCCCTCGACTTTAGAGAAGATAACTAAGGTCGAATTGGTGCCTCTTTGGACGAATAATGACTCGATCAAGGTATTAATGAAATGAAATGTCTCATCTTCGTATTTAGTAATTAAAATTGTCACTGGGTTGTAGTGCGAAGGCCCAGAGCGCTAATTCATAAATTAATGGCAATTAAGTAAGGCAATTATGGGATGGACATCGTCATAGTTGAATTGAAACATTATGTTGTATTGATTGAGTAGTTGCGATGTTTAATCAAATAGTAAGTAATAAGGTCAATTCGATTGTTTTCGATCCATCAGGACACCGACGATGCACCGCTCAAGTACAAAATTCTACGTCAACAGGGTTTAATAGCGAGCAGGCAGCTTCCAAGTGCATTAATCATTGGCGTGAAAAAAGGCGGCACTCGAGCACTTCTCGAATTTATGCGTCTTCATCCGGACATTCGGGCCGCCGGTTCCGAAGTACACTTTTTCGATCATCATTACGCTAAAGGCTTCCATTGGTACAGGTAATATAAGAGATTCGCTACTTATGAATGACCGTCTCATGTACGATCGTCATTCGCAAGAGTAAAAATTAAACTAAAGCCTTAAAGATCCAACTAAATGTTATTATACGGACGTGTGTAGTCGTGTAGCTTAAAGTTCTCCATTATTAAATAGGCAAATTTTTGTATTGTGCATTTAAAGGCATAGAATGCCGGCGACGCTCGATGGACAAATTACCATGGAGAAGACGCCCTCGTACTTTGTTACCATCGAAGCACCGAGGCGAGTTCAGCACATGGATCCTGGAACTAAACTTATAGTCGTCGTGAGGGATCCCGTGATTAGGGCAATATCCGACTATACCCAGGTCAAGAGCAAGCGAACGAAAATGCCGAAATTCGAGGAACTGGCTTTCCTCAATGGGTCACAGGTTGTTCTTATTGTTGTTATTTATTGACAATATAGACATAAATATTTTAATGTCGTTTATATAGGAGTAGTAAGATACTTTGTAAAAAAAAAACTGAAGAAAAAACTTGAGAGGAGGAATAGAGTGGAAGGCTTTCAACTTTCAACTAAGGTTTATAAAAATCGATAAATTGAAATTACCTTTTCAAATGTTGCATATTTAATAAATAAATAAAAATTATATTAAATAAATCACAAAATATAAAATATTCAATATTGTATTTATTTGAAAATGAAAATCTCGTGTCAATACTCGTTACATGGTTATATATATATACGTATATATATATATATATACGTATATATATATACATTAAATGTCTATTTGTATTTATTATCAATTCTATATATATAATAACACATAATATATTTGTATGTTAGGTTGTGGATACAACTTGGGCACCACTAAGGATCGGCGTTTATGCTAAGCATCTCGAACGTTGGCTCAACTATTTTCCACTGTCCCAATTACTGTTCGTATCCGGGGAAAGACTTATTGCCGATCCAGCGTTAGAAATTATAAGAGTTCAAGATTTTCTTGGACTTAAAAGACTGATTTCTGAGAAACATTTTTACTTCAATGCTACAAAGGGTTTTCCGTGTCTTCTTAAGTCAGAGGAAAGCGCCACACCGCATTGCCTTGGTAATTCGTCTATTTTTATTCAAATACGACGTTTGGTACTTTATTTGATTTTAAAATATCGAGATAGATGGATAAGTCTGTTAAATATTGTGGCTTAATAAGGTTAGAGAAGACAATATTAATAAAGCGACTTACTTGATTTGAAAAAATATATATTGCATAGATGTTATGGCAAATCATCAATAATATGTCATATGATATTATATGTATATATATATATATATATGTCATCTTAAAAAATTATAACCAATTATGATTATGATGAATTAATTTGCAATAAATACAAATCAAGTGTACGGTATGCTTTTTAAATTCAATTTATTTCCAAACTTTATTACAATTTAAAACAATAATTTATACTTTATTTAAATACTTTATGAGATTCTATTATAATTGTCTTTTACTGGATCTAATCTTTGTAAGTTATTTTCACTCTCTCTCTCTCTCTCTCTCTCTATATATATATATATATATATATATATTTATTTATGAGAAATAATTATATGATAGTTTTATTTATCGTTGATAATAGGTAAGAACAAGGGCCGGAATCATCCCTACATTAATCCAGCTGCCATCCAACGCCTTAGAGACTTTTATCGACCATTCAATCGGCATTTTTACCAGTTAACTGGTATAGATTTTGGTTGGTCGTAAAATACGTACAACGAATCTCAAGTCCATCATATCTAATTCTATTATGTTTATCCGTTATAGCTTTTTCCTTGACTATTTTTATGATCTTTTCTTTTTTAGTTTTGCGGATGACAATTATATATCGAAGTATATAAAGAAATTTTTTGTTTAATAATTTTTAATTATAGGATTCCTTTTTTTTAATAAGGAAATAAGAAATTGAGTTCTACTTACTACTTAGTACTTTGGCGGTATGGTTAAAATGAAACGAAGTTATAATTTTTCATGAAGCAACCGGTTCGGGTGTTTTTAAAAATAGTAATAAAGTATTTTGGTGCCTGTACACGATAATTGGTCCTTCTAAACTGTTTTATTGAATGAAAATTCAATCAGACATATCGTAGAAAGTTTGAAGTATCTTTATTGCTTCAATTAGTATTACATTAGTTACCATGTGTACTCAAGATTGCGATTTCACTCAGACAATTTATTTGCTCTGGGAATTGGTATGATATATTTCGATACTTTCTATTATTATTTTATTTTTTATTATTTACAAATTTCTTTTCAAAATTTTTATTTTCAATATTGTTACAATGTTATTAATAAAGAGTATCTTTATTATTGTTTTTTATTAGGATAATGTAATACGTAATATAGTCGAAGCTATTAAAAGAATGCGCAAATAAATCATTAACGAGGAATATTAGAAAATATTAAGCTAAGATACTTGCATATCAAAATACGACGAGGTCACGTGATACTTCCAAAATAATGTTTTGCATTTCGTTTTGGCGATAATCGTTAATTCGAAAAGAATTATAAAAACATTAACGTAAGTTAGAAGTGAAAGAAATTAAAAAAATTTACGTCAATATTCATTATCTTGTAATTTTTAAAAGTCTGCAATTGCACGGAGCTTTATGCTCATTGAGAATTATAATGCACTTATGATTAATCTGAATGTAGAAAAATGGTTCTAATATATCAAAATAATTGTAATTATATAAAAGTATCTTATATTAATCTATTTTATATCCCAAATATTATATCATTAAATTTGAACATTACTCTAAATTAATTTACTTTATAAATCACAGTATTACTTATTATTGTAGACAGCCAATGATGTATACACTTGTTACGTTATACAATGGCTTACATTATAGGCGAAGACAAAACAATAAAAATGGTTTCTCTAAGTATCTCGTTGAACAATTATTTAATAAATTTTTTTCATGTAGTGAGAAAGTAATTCTGATTTAGATTTTTTAGAATTATTCTATAAATGCTATAGGCCATGAGGCACCAGCTTAGTAATACTTAATCAATCAATACAATCAATTTTAATATAATAAATACAATAAACATAATCAATTCTAATACAATAAATACAAAAATCATGTAATAATGTTTATTTTATTTTTAAATTTATTGCAATGAAGAATTGCGACAAAAGTTTAGAATTAATATTAAGAATAAATAATATAATATACTTTAGAAGGAAAAAGAAGGATAGCCGCCCTTAAATACTTTTAACGTAACAAGTCAAAAGATATTGAATTGGGAGTATTTTTGAACATTTGAAAAAACATTAAAAATCTAAATACATACATATTTGTGTATATTCAATATAAAGTGGCAAGCATCATGGATAGGGAAATGTGGAGTATAAAAAAATATAAAGATTACCAAGTGTATTAAATATGGAGTAGACCATTTTTATAAAATATATAATTATCATACAATTATAGAATTACTCTAACCAACACTGATTGATTATTTCACTTTGATGTCCGATCAATCCACTGTTCGCCACATTGTACATTCATATTAAAAGTCGAAATTATAACTTATAGGAACATCAATATATTACAAACTTATTAAATTTTAAATAGAATAATCTACATTTCATTTATACCATGACAAGATAAAAAATATTTTTGCATTATATTTTTAGTTTTTATACTTACTATTGGTTTGATCATTATTAATAAACTTATTAACTTTTGGTGAAAACTTTTATTAAACCTATGAGGGCCTAAGGCAAATAATATTACTATAATATATAATTACTATCACACCATACTAATGTAATGATGAATATTTATTCCTATTTAATAATATTTCTAGATTTCATCGTAATATTTGTAAAATAAGACAGATTCCTATTTTTTTTAATATTTTTTTTTCTTTTTTCAAAGAAATTCACGCATCACGAACCCATTTATAAAATTTAATTTTATAACATTAATTTATAACATTGGCTAACTATACATTTTTAATACTATTCACTTAAATAATTTGCCATTCAGATCTAATGAACAAAAGAACGTATAATTTTCTAAATATCAATAAGCATAATTTATGTTCAATAAAATCATACATTTTATTCAATATGTTTTTTTTTTAATTTAAGTAACTGAATAATATTGTTTCTGATATTTAAAAAAATTCTTATTTATTCGTCTGATTTCATAAAAATACTGCAAATCCTGAATACTGTTTTATATACACGTAATACATATTTTGTGTGAATAATTTGTTTTTCTCGAATATCACTCACACTTCAACCTAGCAGGCTTTGTTTTTACAAAATTATCACAGAGTATCTTAAAAATCTATGGTACTTTTAATAACTACATATTGCTTGTAATATATATATGTACGCGCGCGCGTGTGTGTACTGTATATATATATATATATATATATATATATATATACAATTTGTATACCGAAGCTTATTAAGTTTAATATATTCTAAATCCTTCTCATAATTATTCATCATTAATTATTAATTTGCTTAACTCAGAATTTTAAGTGAAACAAGAGCCTTTTTGAAGAAAAACTTTTTATAAAGAACTAAATGTTTGATTTAGTTGCGATTAAGGTGCTGGCGTTTCTTTAAAGTTATGTCAATTTTTAAAATTCACAAAATTTAAAATCAATATTATAATATGCGGCTAATATATTATAGCTGTAACTTTAAGTGAAAAATCAATAATTATACAATAACATGAAAACTATACATATTGTATGTATATCTACTGAGATATAATTTATATTAATATTAAAAGTATATAATTATATATGTAAGATAAGGTGATGCGCGACTCGTAAATTCATAGGACGTTAATAAGCAAACCCTCCTAGAGGAGGGGCAAAGAAAAATATTAACGATTGGAAGTGCATAATCAAAAGTTTGATAGACAAAAACTACAATATAAAATAACTATTTAAAATCTTTTCACATCAACTTTGATTAATTCTAGTTCTAAATCATGTACATGTCTAAATACGATTCGGCATCCCTTCGGAAGTCGCAAGCAGATATCGATATTAATTCATGTTAGTGATTAATATAATTGATTTCTCTAATTTAAATATAAACTGAAACTTTCATTGAAAACTTGATGAAAATAATAATTCACGATTGTTCGTCCCAATTTCTACCGATAATATTATTTACATTAAAAATACATCACAATCGTAAGAAGATTCGAAGCCGAGTGAGTCTCTCTCGTATCGATGCTGAAAATTCAAAATCGACATTTCAACATGCATTTTCAGTAATGCTTCATAAGCAGTATATGCACGCACGTGTATACACTCATACACATATAAACACACACAAAGCCACGCATACAGAGTCAGACACAAATGACACCGTAAATCCGAGCAGACGCTCCGAAAACATTAACTAAAATCCACTCATCGCACTGGGCTTCGGAATGGAAACCCGCGGAACCTAAGCTAGGGTACGATCACGTTCTGTAGGGTCTGTTTAGTGAGGCTCGCCCTCTCCTTAAGCAGATCGTCGAGAACCTCTTCCGTGTAATAAACAACGAAGTCCTTAGGTGCCACTCCTTCGAAGACTGCAAACACCGAGGGCTTGAGGTTGTAAAAGAAGAGCGGCTGACCTCGAGCTGCAAAGTCCTTCGTCAAGGACTCGATTACCTTGGCAGCGGTAAAGTCCGCGCCGTAGATATGTGTGCAGTCAATGACGACGGGTGTTGACTCGCTACCCAGGCGACGACTATACTTTGTCACAAGGTTGCGCACGTAGTCTACCGAAGGGAAAATGAGGCAGCGATCCGGCGTCAACATCAGATAATTCACGCCACGACGGCTCTGCTCGACAATACATTATTTCGTTATTAATTAACTGCTGCGTGGCTGGTTGGCAGGTAATGAGAGATTGGATTGTTGATAAAGATTAAAGGATATTATCCAAGACTTAGGTACCATATAAGCCAGTCGTAGGTTTAAGCGTTTACGTAAGTAAACTTGACAAATTAAATAAAAAAAAAAAATAAAAGCACATGCAGTTGCACGTTAAAGATATTTTACAAACTTGCTTGTTTTGTTGTTTTTCGTGTTAGTACCTTTAATTTTTCGACGGAAATTTTGGGCCTGGCCGCGTGATACAATATGAACATGACATTAAGACCAACGCCGCAGGCAATTCCAACTTCTAATTGTAATACCAAACAAGCAATGAAAGTCCCTACTCCTGGTATGAGGTCTGACTCTATAATGAAGAAGATTATTGTTTTGGTAATGGGACAAGACACTTGTGCCGAAGCGATTAATAAAGTACCTACTTTTCGTTCTCCACATTGGCTTAACAACCTTTACCTCGACCATAAAAATGACAGCGGCAATAATGATGGCAGCCAACGTTGCTTTCGGAATAAAAAAGAAATACGGAGTCAAGAAGAATAGAGCCAGTAGCACTAGAAAGCCTAAAAGAATAATAAAGTGCTTTTTTCCGCCGAAGTTTCTTCAATTCATTACAAGCCACAAATCATCGCAATACATACCGGTATAAATGCCACCCATTGGTGTTCGTACTCCAGAGGCATTGCTCACCGCACTTCTGCTAAGAGCTCCGCTGCCTGGGAAAGCTTGAACGAACGAATTTCCAATATTCGAGATCCCAATAGCGATCAATTCTTGGGTCGCGTCCACGGATTTTCCATTCGCTGTAAGAAATGTATTTTCCCTCATTTTGACCCCACCACAGTCATGATAATTTTACTGATTATTTGAGCACACGAGCTCTCACTTAGAGCGTACCATTCGACACATTTAACAAATACTTGAATGAAAAATATTTTTGATTCGAGAGAGTCACTATATGTCTTATTAATGCTCACTTGTCTGTCGAATACTACGGTATTATTTGAATATTAGATATTCGATTATCGCTAATATCTTCTACGACTGTCCCTCCAAGACTTTTTCAATAATATAAGATACGTATAAAGGGCTTCTTTCGTTACTCACAAAAGGCTTTGCAGATAGCAATATCCTCCATTAGCGAGATGAGCGGCAACACCATAATGCCACTTCCTAAATTAGAGCACATTTGGATGAATGACAGCGTATTATTGTTATCACTGGTATATCCGAACGGAGGGAGTTGAAACGTCGGCATTCCACTTGGAATATGACCTGAAATTCGTTTACCAATCGCTCGTATAATCGATTTGTTTTTCTTCAAGAATAATTGCTAATTTATAACGGATGACTTGCCTATGAGATGAAAGGGAGACTGGCCGCTAGGAAAATTGTAGGCTATAATGCCGCAAATAATAACAAGTAAAGCGTTTCTCGAGGTGCCACTAAGCCAAAATAATTTATTCAATATTTTGTGCTTTGTACTGTGTCGCTGTTGCTCTTCCGTCCCTATGGCCGTTGCAGCCAACGCCTGTATAAACAAACAAACAAACAAAACAAAACAAAACAAAACAAAACAAAACAAAACAAAACAAAAACAAAACAAAAACAAAACAAAAACAAAACAAAAACAAAACAAAAACAAAACAAAAACAAAACAAAAACAAAAAAACCAAAAAACGAGCATTGTTTATCATTTATCAAAGTACATTAAAATTTTACTCGATAAACGGTCGATACAATTATTTTTATATATTTCTTGTTATTGTTATTGTTGTTTTCTTTTTTTAAAGACATTTTAAACAATTTTCAAAGGTAGGAGCTATTCACAGAGATCAAATCACTTTTTCCAATGTATTTACAATATACGTAAATAATATGATTATATTCGAGCCATACACCGAGCCATTATAAAAGAATGAATAATCAAGTAAAATAAATAAACTCACTCGAAGTAATAAAAGAAGACCTATACAAGATACACCGAGAGCTGCGTCGTACATCGAGGCATTGTGCACGTGCTCACCGATACTCCGCCACATTTGCAGGAAAGTCGAGCCTTTGGCCGGAATCCCCAGGATATCCTTAATTTGGGATGTAACGATAATTAGGGCTACCGCGGACGTAAATCCGGAGCTCACTGGGCCGGATACGAAGTCGATAAGGAAACCTAAAAGCCGAGCATTTTCATGTCGATAATATTATTATTCAAAAGACTCGATTATATTGATCGAGGATATAGAGTTGGATATTAATTAAACAGCGACGTCTTAGAAAATGCTTTAACAAATAGTGTTTTCGAAATACTTTCGCACACTCTCTCTCTCTCTCTCTCTCTCTCTGTGCGCATATATATATATATATGTGTGTGTGTGTGTTTGTGTTTGTGTGTGTGCGTGCGCGCGCGCGCGCGTGTGCGTGTGTATTTTGTAATTTGTAAACTTGGGAATTTATTGTGAAATAATTAACTCTATCGAATTTCCTATTTTCGTCAGCTAATGCATAATTTCATTTTATTTGTGTGTATGTGGCGAAGGGTACCAACCACTCACGTCAATGTGGCATCTCACAGTCTGCATTAAAATTTAGTAATGCAACTTGCTGTCTGGAATAGTAAGTACGCGCGTGCAATAGCATCGCTGAGAAAAATGAAAATTCAGCTCTTACGCAATGCAAGGAGATGCGTAACGACTTACCGAGTCCGAAAATTCCCATGAATAATTCAATGACACCAGACAGAAAGCAGAGGAGGATTGCGTGCTTCTCTGGATCCTGCAGATGTCCTACCGTTTGATAAGTTAGTAGAGATATAATGGCAGTGGGTCCAAACGGCACGTCCTTGCACGAGCCGAAAAATATGTAGAAGAAGCATCCGAGGAAACTCCCGTAAAGCCCATACTGCAAAAGATCGAATTTCCTTTTCATCTTGAAGTTGGAGCGCGCTACTTGCTAATTGCAACCTGTTACGCTACGTAATTAACGCGTTACATTACGCTTTACATTATACTGTAGATTACGCTGTTGATTACGCGTGAGTATTCGCTTCGAGACATCCGAAGGTTTAATCGCATTGGCACGTGAATGTTATGCAAAAGTCTCGAGATTCATTCGCAAGCTGACGCACAAATGTTCATCGGGAAGAAGTTTTTAAATGAGAATTGGTATTATGAAAGGCGACTTGTGTCTCAAAACAGTGTAATTTTATAAAATTGGTCCGGTTCGCGCGTGACTTTTGATAACCTAATGATGAATGATCGCTACGCGTTTCTTTTGTTTGCCATGGCTAATCTAACAATGCAGTTATGTCTTGTAAACTTCTATAATTAGACATGAATTTCAAAAAGTTATTCTAGCTTTTCATCCGAAATCTTCGATGTTGTTGAATCGAGTGCTCGATTGCTTTTATTACTAAATGAGCAAACACAGTTTTTATTATTACATTAAAAAAAAAAAACATTAAAAAGCTATTAGTATCGAAGCATTGGAGGATATTCTATATAATTTTGAGAAATATTACAAACGAGTGACCTTCGAGACTTTTAGATTTCTCGTCCAAGTAGAAATATGTTCACCGCTGAGAGCGTACATAAGATAAAATGAAAGTCCATAATGTATGTAAATATACAATATTTTTTAAAAATAGTAAAATGCCATTGCTACAATTATTTTCTAACGGCTTATTTATAAATAGAAAATCGACGTTTACACTGAGGCGCGTATTCGGTCATTTTTGTTCTCTAAAAAAAAAGAAAAAAAATGCGCATTTAAATTTTAATTACTACGTGGTGAAATGATCGAACGTCAGAGCACACAATCAAAATAAAACTTAATGATTGTAAAAGCCTATGCAGAAGCGGCATGCAATACAAACCAAAGTGAAAGTATCAAATTATGTACAAAAAAATAAATAATAATAATAATAATAATAATAATAATAAATTAGGTTGCATTTCTCAATGTACGGCTGAGTACATTTTAATAAATATTGACTACGGTTACTTTATCAGAAAATATTCATATACATATATATTGATCGTCGTTCGGCACATATTCAAAATGTATCTATGAAACAGTCGCTGTGAATATTATTAACTATTTTTACTTTATTTTTGTATGAAGAAGCATCTATGCAGAAGTATGCCAAACTTTCATAAACTTTTCTACCCGCTGGCCTACTATCGCAGATTTTGTTAAATCTTCGACATAATTATAACTTAGAGCCCGCGATAGCATCATAATTGATTACGCTAAAAAAAAAAATTGCAATTTGTTTTAAGTCAGTGATTATTCTGATAGAACGTGTATGATGTTTACTTAGAGGTACTCTTTTTACAGCATCTCATTCTCGCGTGTCTATATTAACAATAATTTTATAAGTCAACTACAACCACATTTAGCTGTATTTTCCATTTGGCTGGCTTGCATATCCACAAGCTAAATTAGTTTCCATTCTATAATCACAGAGCCAAACAAATTGCTTCAAATTTTAATACCAATTCAAGGCGCAAATGATTTTTAAATCTACGAGGTTTATAATCACGGGCACGCCTAAATAGGCAATTTTACAGGCACGAAGGCAGGTACATACCTGGGGCTGCAAACCTGCGACATTCGAATAGGCGAGTGACTGAGGTATGACGGTGAGGCCAACAGTGACGCCGGCTACGAGATCTCCGAGGGCGTCCTGGCAATTATATCGCGGCAACCAGTTGAGGATCGGCAATCTCTTGTAGAGGGTTTTTCTGGTGCAGACGTTCCTGAGTCGCCTTGCGACCTGAGTGCCATACGAGCTCAATACGTCCCCCTTCTGCTTTCTGTCCTCGTCCCCCGTATCCGGATCCTCTACCACTAGGGTAATTGATTCACAAAGTTGTTTAATCATCAACGAATACGATGAACACTGAGTTCTGTCTTTTTTTTCTCCTAATTTAAAGGGTTCGCTAATTGTGTGACCCATAGAGTTGCCCCTTGGTAAATGTATATTTTAAAGTATATTTGGCTTCGTGTAGGTGACTGTTTGCCAATCTTTTTGCACTTACTGTTTTATTGATAAAAATCATAATGTCATACTCTGTACGATCGTGTGTGCCGTTCAATTTTAAAGGTTAATAAAACGATGAAGACGAAGGCAAATAAGTCGAACGCTTGCCGTGGAGTAAATAGCTTGTGATAATTAATAACGCAGTAATATGTGCGAAGCATACATTTCGAAGATGCAGGTTTATTGAAAAAAACACAAAGCATAAATGGCTCCATTCAATACATTGGTTCGTAAAAAAGTGATGCCTTTTTTTTCTTTTGTCACCTGCGCAAAAACAACGAAAAATGAAATAAGGATGGAAATTTTACGAAAAGCAAGTAAAAACATTAAAATTAAATAAAATCGGCGACGAATCAAACGAACGTAATCCTTGAGTAATTTTATGCGATAAAAAAGAATACATTTTCATCCAGTTCCGGTGCCGCCGCCTTCCCCCCCCCCCCAGCCTTCCTTATCCCGTCATCACGTCATATTATTATTATATAATAGACGAAAACGAAATCCATGCACGAAGCGCGAGTCCAACAACGCGCCACAATTAAGTCGGAAGCTCTTGATCCTTAATTGTCGGATGTGGGCAGATGTGGGAACAAAGAGGAGAGGGAAGAGTCGAGGGAAAAACGAAACTTGTGCGCCGCGCAAATCGATCTGAAGCATCGACTAGAGATCTACCGATGAA